AATACCTGACTTAAACTGAAATTTTTACCCTATTTTAAGTGATACACACTAGTTGTACGTCCCAATGAACCTGATCAATGTTCCACTCAAGTATAAATTATAGTTATTCTGAGTAGCTAATTAGTAGAATAATGGATGGAAATATTTCAATTTAACTTAAAGACAGACAAATAATTACGGTCATTAGCGACCGATCTTTGGGTATTCAACTGTCAATAAATATGTGTGACTACTGACTCCATAATGAGTAGTTTGGCAAGTAATTAATTTATTTTAGACATCGATATAAGATATGGCTAGGAAAGATTTGAAAAATATTTATGGATGAATACTCATCGAAATAGCGTATATAAATATGTTAAAAATAGTACAAACCTAACGACAAAAATGTTCATAAAAAAGCCTATTTATCTATATAAGATTATTGATAATTAAACCGTAGTTAGTGAGCTTTTGGTATAAATATACAACAGAGAAACTTAATTGCGATTCATCAGGAAGATAATTAGAAAGGAAGAAGCTTCTTAAATTGATACTGCATGATGGTCCTATAATACCTTCGATTTAGTCACCAACCCGCACTTACATAGATGGACATCATCCCGGTACGTAGAACAAACATATTTCAACCATCATAAGTCACATTGACACCCAAATGGAAATGCCATATAATATGTTCTAATTCACCAGAACAAACGCATATTTCACCTCCATTTAATTATAGTGTTAGTTGGTAAGTATCGAGAGTTCATACTTGGCTAAATAGATACAACCATAATTAATTATTCTTCTATCTTCTTCTCTTCCTACTTCACACTCGGCTAAAGTAGTAAGATTACCAAACAAATTTTCCAGATTAGTAGGAACTCACCATCTATAGGTATTGATGCTTACATCAGAGCAGCACATTGAATGCATAAATCCAAAAAAGGTTCTATCTATCTATCTGTCTGACTGTCAATTTTTACTATTTCCATGAAATGAGAACAGTGTAACATCGTTAGTGTTTCTAACATCTACCAGGTTATTCTCAACCACCTGGTGTAAAATGCACATACATAAGTTGTTTCATGTGCATGGTCCTATTTCTAGTTTAGAAGTTCTTGTTTACTCGTAAGAGTTTTGTAAAAACTGTACATTCTGTACTCGATCTATTTTAATCCGTTGTAGACTATTGTAAGGAGTAAATGTGTTTATCACTAGTTATTTCGTGCAAATAATATTGTCCATGATGTGATTTCGTTCTTGTGCAAATCGATCATCATCACCATCAGCTGCATGTTTATGGATTCCGATATACATCGACGTTCCATAGTGATGCAAGCCTAGGTTTCGTGTAGATTATCAGTGTTGTTTCATCGGAAAGAGTCTCTCTTACAGTGAATAGTGTCTAAATGTACGTGGTTTTATTGCTGGTACTCTCGTATGTAACCTACATTTTGAAAGATTCGCAAACTTAGAGGATTGAGTGCGAATCCTTCAGTCCTGCATATTTCCCATTGTACCAACAATGCACAAATATATAATTCGAAACTAAAGTCAACAGTGATTTCCATGTTTTTAACATTATCATACTTTTCCACTTCTAACATTTTGTGAGTGATTAGATCCAATATATGTTTCAAGACAACAGCTCGAACAAATGTCCATACAGTTTCGTGCAAGAATTTCATAGGATATTTATAGAGTATACAAGATCATTTAACTAAGTAATACTGAGTGAATTTAAACTTCACCCCATTGAACAAGCAAGTGGCTATCAGAACTCAGTAAATAGGTGGATAACGCGATGGCTTTTGAAGCGAACGGTACTGAGTTCGGGTCTCAGAGTTAACATCAACTGTGGGATGCATATACATCCATCTGACGAGTCCGAAGTAAGATAAATCGCGCGTCCTGGATTCCACTGTTAGCCGCTATCCACCCTTGCTTATAATGCTTGTGAATTAACGCAATATCGAGGCATTTCGCACAGCATACACATATTCCAATAAGAGGCAGGGCCAGTAGGATGTCTCAAACTGAACAGATGTATGCTTATGTCAGAGCCTATGCAACAATATCATTAAAAGTCAATGCTGTCTCAGTTAATAAACACAGGAATAAAAAGCTAGATAAAATCTCATCATTGCGTACAGTAACAGTGAACCTATAGTATTTTTTCATTTCGTTCTACTAAACAAAACGAAACTAAAACACAGCGGGTTGATTTAATCAAGCGTGTTACGTTCAATGTTCAGCCATTCCTCTGGCTATGCATTCAATATTCGTTGGTTCAGCAAAACGATCACTTTCACCCTGATTGCGATAAACAATTTTTAGTATTTTCTTAATGGGTGCTCCACTTGCTTTTTTATCGCCGGTTTTAGTCTCATTTTACACGTGACTCGTATAATTTGCCGATGAATTAATCGTTCTCTCATTCCTATACCCTATAAACAAATGTCTATTGTCGCCAGGTCTACCTCCCCATTAAGACGCATGTATTCTAACTCTATGATTCACAATGGTTCAAGTGTGACTTTGCAGTTAACCGTTATCTCCTACATTTGAGTATTATGGATGAATCCATTATTATCCTGGGAGATGGACATGTGAGAACACCTTGCGTTGTGTAGTGAAAACGTCGCTCGGATTCAGCCGCGTCAGTAAAGCCTTCAAGAAACAATATTGTGAAATTGCTCAACTTACAAAGTAGTTAACGCTAGGTAAATTAATAACGGTGACTATTGAAAAAAATTATTCTGTTTTATATCACTCTTCAAAAAATGACCAATATCTGTCCATTTCATTAGACGAAACAGAATCAAAAAGTATTTAATGTTAAAAAACCACTGTGCCGTAAATGATATTCTCCCGAATAAGTAACTACTTGTAGTAAAGTCCAATTGGAATTTTTCAAAAATAATTTCCTGTATATGTTTTTGCACATATGATTGAATTTATTTGACCTCCTGTCTGGTTATGTGGATCAATAATGGTTTGACCATAATTCTATTATTGTTATGTATCTCGCTTAAATTGTATTAATCGGTGTGATTATTATCAGAAGGGGGTTTTGTGGAGATTTTAGTAATTTCAATAATTAAGATCATGCGTCAATTGGAACTAGACCATCATGGAAAATCTGGAAGCACTGGACGGCCGTTTCGTCCTATTGCGGGACTCCTCAGTAGTGCGCATCCACGATCCCGCCTCGCCGGATTCGAACCCAGTGTGATTATAATTTGCACCCGTTAATGTTAACAGAACAATCAACTCAACTGAGACAAAGAATAATCCAGGGTTTCCTGTTGACTACCTCCAACCACCATCTAAATCTCAATACATAGTGCCCGCACTGTCGAGTCACCTAGACTGGTGGCCACATTGCAACATGATCGATAGCATTCGATCTGCACTAATAAGGACTAGACAAGTATGACATTGATCACCACCCAGTGATCAATCAATTGTGATTACAAGGAATAATCGCTAGATTTGGAAAAAACGTCAACCGATACCAAATTAACAATCGATGTCTAGTTCCACACTTTTGGTGGTACGAAGACTTGAGGTAGTCTTATTTTGTGCTCACTTGAGCAATCAGCACAATTGATGTTTTGTTTAGTTAGCATTAGTTACGATTATTAGCTGTCCGCTTTTAAATCTGCTTGCATTGTCAGATACAATATATTTATCTCTTTATTAAAAAATAACTGCCTGTTCAATTTTTACGACCATCTCTAACATCTTAAAATGACACGGTATATAGAAGCCACTGAAATGAAATATATAAAAAACCTGATCAAACTGACTAAATTCGTGTTTCGAGATCAAGACACTTATGGAACTTACATTTCTGCTATAGATGAACAGAAGCACTGCACATAAGGTTTCGCCATTGAATATTTCAAATGGTTATAAGCTACTGTTGTAGTGAGCGAGAACTCAGGTGGGAAAAACCAATGTAGAATTACACAGTACTTTTATAAACTATGAAAATTAAACATTAAGTACATTATATGCACATCTCCTATCAGTTGTCCTTTACATACTTCATGATTCTTCCGATTATGTTTTTATTCTAATTACTATGTCTCCCTTCCTATCCTCTTCAATTCAATCTTCTGCTGGCAGTCATTCCACTTCCGACCGCTGATACATACTGTCAGCATAAGCATCATACACTACACTCTGGCACTTAACATATGTACATTTAATTCATCTGATAAACTCCCAGCGATCGCACGACTATTCAGAACACAAACCTCTTGACCATTTAAAAAAATTTATAATCAGGAGGGCTGGCAGATACACTCCCTCCCCATCATTGTAGGGATATTTTTCATTTAATGGTTCAAAGTACATTCCAACTGATCTCACAATTCAAATCAGATATACCACTGTTCAGGCAGTCAAACAGCATCAAATTTGTAAGCATAATATTCGAATATCAAGTAATTTCGTTAGACTTTAAGAAACTCTGACTTCTTTGTTGTCACGATTATTAACTGTGGTCAAATAAGCAAACTCAGTTGCAGTATTACTACAAAACATTTCGCGCTGTGAACCATTATCAAATCCCTATTGTCATATAAGTCATATCACCTTGACATTTTTCACTGAATATAACCATTAATACCATAAAATGGAATATCGGACATACGATTCTGCCTGATGAGATTGTTTTATTCGTCAGAACAAAACAGAACAACAGTCAAACATCACCTCTTACGTCATAATAGGAAACCTGTTCTACTGATTAAAATTATGATATACCAATTATTCTTTCAAAAACAACGATTAAATGGCGCATAGAATACATAATATTATCATATTTCAATGTGATAGAAAATATTAGTTAAATAAGCGTTAGTAAAGTTTCTGATCAGTGATTGGAAAATCATTTATAAACAATAAACGGATTAGATTTTAAAAAATATATGAAGGAGAAGGATTTCCAACTGAGCAAGGTAGGTTTTCAAGTTGAACTCAATAGTTTTCGAATTTCCATTCTTTCACATTGAAACGCATGAATATTCTCCCGTTTTTCTGGAAGAAAATAAAATAAAAAGAATGGGTTTATTTAGATGAGGTGTAGTGACAACGTAGAGAAGTTATCAATTCAAATGATATTTTCGCACGTCAATCAATGTAAGTATAGGAAGTCAAAACTACTGCTCTGACAAACTCCAGAAATTGTAAATACACAAACACAAAATATTCACAACACTTTTTTCCCACTAGATGTGAATCGGAAACAATCAACAAAATACATTTTACAGTTTAACTGCAACTGAATTTCATTGCCAAACACCTAATCAGATTCCATAATAGTGGAACAGGCTAAATATACCGCATACAGATGCTTATTACTCGAAAGTACACTTTAGGCGCTTTACTTAGTCGACTATGCTTGCGGTTCAGATGGCAACCGACTCCGGAAGTTTTGAACTCTTTTGTATCTGTATCTCATAAATATTGATGGAGTTTCATGCACAAGTGGACAAGTCCTCTCGAGAAACAACCAGAGATTATGATAGTTAGCTCCTCATCTAAAACATACTAACATTGTTTACAAATAAAACATTGCATTTTATTCTGGTCTCCTTTAGTCATAACGATAATATCTAATGTGTAATCGTGTAATACAAAATTGTTCGTTTAATCGAGTACGATGCAACTTTGAGATTAGCTAACCTGGATAGAACACAGAATGAATTGATATTTCATATTCTTACTGGATAACAATTTCACTTTCAAATATTTACTTAAATTTATGGAATTTCAACTAGAATTCAAAAGGAAACTAAACAAGCAACCAAAAATATCAACTAGTCAATATACGAACAACATACTTTGGTTTCTCAGGTTTTACAGTGATCGATCCACGACTAACATTGTGCTACAATAACGAAGATAAACAATATGCGTGTATACAAATTCATGATTATATTCAAGTATGTATTACAAAATTAACTGGACATTTAATTACAAAGCCGAACTTCTTCCGAATGGGAGAGTGATGTTCCTAACTGGAATAAGTATACACATACGACTGAGCTAATAAGAGTATCAAAGTAAATGATGTGGTAAAGGCTCCTTATTGCTTCAGTTAATAGTGTCACTCTAAGCATAGATGTAGACTAGTTTCAAAGTACTATTGCTTAAATATACACAGTTCAGTAATGTAATGTGAATTGTTTGCGATCTTTACACTAACAGATACTATAACTAATCTTACTGATCAACAGTCAAGTATTATCATTAGGTCAAACATTTTTCTCGAGTTGCCACTTGACTAAAGGTGAAGGGTTCGTCAATACACCTGCAACTTTGAAGTTACGTTTCAACATGTATTTTAAAAGTCCCAGCGAGTATTACGCAAATGTAGGCTAGTCAATTTAGTCACTGATTCACATGTTTTCATGATAGTCCTATTGGTCAGTGACCTCCCAAGTTTAGGTTACCCAATTAATCTAGGTGACTGCCTTCTGTTACATGAAACTGCTTCCATCTCGATTACCAAAACATAACTACAGCAAAACGTTACTACAGTTTACTTACTGAAATGAGAATTCAGAAAGGGTCAACTAGGTACTTTCATACAAAGCTTTGTCTATCTACTTCAATGCTGCCCTCTCCACTACGAGCACCATTTATGAGCATTTGACTGTGTGTGGGAACTTAGATAGCTATTGTCCAATGTTCAATCGACGAGAGATGGTCAGAGCCTAAACACTATCAACAACGCACATTTCCCCCATCTAATTTTGCAGTGTAAGCCAACCAGTCAGTTCATAAGTGATCAGTGGATAAAATCGAATTCAAATGCGTGATCCACTTCTTCAGAGATTATACTAAGTTCACACATGATAAGAGGTTAGGTAGACCACATTGAGCAAGTGAGGTCGAGTAAATAACCACACGTTGACCCTTTTGTTTTTCTCTACAAACAATGCGTACGTATATTTCATGAAATTCAAGAGTTTCGACCACTGAAATCTGTTGTTTGAAGGCGTGCACGGTAAACCAATATACAGTTCATTAGAATCACAGATGTTGGCACTGAATGTTCTAAATCTCTTACTGACACGAATATTTCATCAGCTAAACAATGACTTGATTTACAGGTAACACCCAACGAACAAAATGGAAATGTTTAAGAATGCAGGTAGTGAGTGGAAGACTTTTCGACTTAAAACTTTGCGATAAATGATCATGCAGTTTTTTCCTTTACCTTAGCAGGCGGGTCATAGGTAAAATGATAGTTCCTAACCCCACTCTTAGTATTGTTTGAGAAATCACCAGACTAAACAAGAGTAGAGATAAAAAACATGAGACAATAAAAATACAGTTCTACCATTCCAAATCTTTCAAACTCACAATTGTGGTGCATAATTCTTCAAATTTTTCCTCATATGGATATTTCCCGGAGAAGTCAATATAACGACTCTCGCCTATCATGAAACCCAGCCAACCACTTGGAACAAACTTCGACTCGACACGAAGAAAAATAGTTGGTTTGTTTAGTTTTCGAGTGTATTCAGCTTCTTTAAAATGAAGTGTGGTATAATATTAAAACAACACTGATAGTTTACCATGTGCTACGACTATTCGCTCATATCTGGTCAAAATATTATCCAATAAGTGGTCATAAATGCTTTCCGGTAGTATCTTCACGCTTCTGACAGATTTTAATCAGCTGACAACACTTTTCAGATACGAAGAAGGGAATTCCACTACATAGTCTACGACTTGTTAATGACGTCAATTTTTAACAAAGTCAGTTTCATGTAGAAATCAACAACCATTATTGGTTAATTCAACTCAATTTATTGGCTGCCTCTAGTTTGATATTTCATGGATTGTTGACGCAGAAGCTGACAGACACCATCCACGGTACTGTAACAGCACCAAATAAGGTGCAAAGCTACGGCTCAAAGGACTGTTCTGGAATGTCATTCGAAGTTTACTTGTAAACCATGGTGGACATTGATCTGACACACGCAAAAGACAGAACTCTATATCTATTTTCAAAGCAAACAGTTCGAAAGTGTGTCAACTAGTTTCAAGTAAACTGGCACAATAGATCATGTGTTTCCTACCAAATTAGGAGAGTTACGAGAATCGATTTCCAACGAACTGGGTCTACATGTCTAATGATCAGTACATTTTCGCCGCGCCTCTTTCAAGCAATCAAAGATGGTAAAATTCACAAACGGATCAGGCAATTTTTTAGTTAGATAATCTTGTATATTCTATAAATATCCTATGAAATTCTTGCACGAAACTGTATGGACATTTGTTCGAGCTGTTGTCTTGAAACATATATTGGATCTAATCACTCACAAAATGTTAGAAGTGGAAAAGTATGATAATGTTAAAAACATGGAAATCACTGTTGACTTTAGTTTCGAATTATATATTTGTGCATTGTTGGTACAATGGGAAATATGCAGGACTGAAGGATTCGCACTCAATCGTCTAAGTTTGAGAATCTTTCAAAATGTAGGTTACATACGAGAGTACCAGCAATAAAACCACGTACATTTAGACACTATTCACTGTAAGAGAGACTCTTTCCGATGAAACAACACTGATAATCTACACGACACCTAGGCTTGCATCACTATGGAACGTCGATGTATATCGGAATCCATAAACATGCAGCTGATGGTGATGATGATCGATTTGCACAATAACGAAATCACATCATGGACAATATTATTTGCATGAAATAACTAGTGATGAACACATTTACTACTTACAATAGTCTACAACGGATTAAAATAAATCGAGTACAGAATGTACAGTTTTTATAAAACTCTTACGAGTAAACAAGAACTTCTAAACTAGAAATAGGACCATGCACATGGAACAACTTATGTATGTGCATTTTACACCAGGTGGTTGAGAATAATCTGGTAGATGTTAGGAACACTAACGATGTTACACTGTTCTCATTTCATGGAAATAGTAAAAATTGACAGTCAGACAGATAGATAGATAGATAGAACCTTTTTTGGATTTATGCATTCAATGTGCTGCTCTGATGTAAGCATCGATACCTATAGATGGTGAGTTCCTACTAATCTGGAAAATTTGTTTGGTAATCTTACTACTTTAGCCGAGTGTGAAGTAGGAAGAGAAGAAGATAGAAGAATAATTAATTATGGTTGTATCTATTTAGCCAAGTATGAACTCTCGATACTTACCAACTAACACTATAATTAAATGGAGGTGAAATATGCGTTTGTTCTGGTGATTTAGAACATATTATATGGCATTTCCATTTGGGTGTCAATGTGACTTATGATGGTTGAAATATGTTTGTTCTACGTACCGGGATGATGTCCATCTATGTAAGTGTGGGTTGGTGAATAAATCGAAGGTATTATAGGACCATCATGCAGTATCAATTTAAGAAGCTTCTTCCTTTCTAATTATCTTCCTGATGAATCGCAATTAAGTTTCTCTGTTGTATATTTATACCAAGAGCTCAATAACGACGGTGGCTAAATAGAAAGTAGCATAGGATCATTTTTTAATTAATTTTAACAGTATAACTTCGATTTCAACCGATTAAACCAATTCTCAATGTAATAAAACATCTAAATGTAAATTGTTCATTGTTTAGTAAGTGACTCTTAGGCAACCAGATTTATTATTTACTTTTACGTTTACCTGATATGATTTTCAGTTAAACGTTTTTGCTTTCAGTAAATTATTTGGTGATTTCATTCGGTTTGGCTATCAACTTATTAAATTTACTCTGGACTACTAATTTTGACAGTATTACTTCGATTTCAACCGATTAAATCAATTCTCAATGCAATAAAACATTTAAATGTAAATTGTTCATTGTTTAATAAGTTAGTTTTTCGTTTACGCGTTAAGATATCGTTAAAAATATGAGTGATTTACGAGTGATGAATGGTGGTTAGCAATGAGATCCGGGACGCGTGTTTCGTCCTATTCGGGGCTCATCAGGTGGATGTACGATGGTGCTTGAAGCGAACGGTGGTAGGTTCGAATCGCAAAATGAACATCAACTCTGAGATGCAGGAACATGTGTTTGACGAGTCCCAAATAAGACGAAACGCGCGTCTTGGATTCTACTGCTAGCCACCATCCATCTTTGCTCATAATACTTGTGACTTAAGGAAGTATCTAGGCAATCTGCACAGGATGCACACATGCCCATAAGAGACTGACCAATTGAAGTCCTAAACACCCATGAGATGATTCAAGTAAGCTATATCAAGTGATAGGCATCATGTTTAAATGTCAATGGGAATAAGAGTATTGAAAAGGAAATACTTTTATCTGATCCGTCTCAAGTATAGTGAAACTTTACTCAAAATGCATAAGCCAATTAGTGAAAAGAATACAAGCAGTGCTCAAGCAAAATAATATCAATACATTGATTCTTTTGAGTAGTCCATATAGCTATGAACATCGAATAAAAAGAGTAAGGTCGAGGCACAAAGCTAGCTACGGAAAAAATGGCCTATGGAAACTCTTTATACAACAAAAAAATGAGTAAGCGAAATTTAATTATACAACAGTCGCAAACAATCAAGAAACTTTTAAAGAAGAATTTTAAAACTTACAGACTCAAAATAATTACATCATTTTATACAGATGAATCCGGAGACTAGTCAGTCTGAATGCAGAACGTATGTCGTAAATAGTTATCAAAAAATAGTCAAAAGTCTCAGTTCAATTAAAAGGGTAAGTGACAAGGCGATATTAACCGATCTGTTCATATGTCCCAAGCTCCATGACCGAAACAGATACATTTGTACAGATAATATATATAAACAATAAGTAATTTTTTAGAATATAGAAATCACTCATGTACATACCTGCTCTAGTATTTGCACTATGTTGGTATGATTTAGAAAAAAGTATTAATACAATTGCAGCATTTTGCACAGCGTTTGCCATTGCATCTAAAATCTTAACATCTTGAACCATGTGATCTTTGTCAATCCAAATCTGAGAAAATAGACCGAGATAAAGATTACTGATGAGAATACAAACATGTCATAAAGCGTTGGAAGAAATTCATAGACAATGTATACATCACGTACTAAAAACTATATGCAACTATACGATAAATGCGATTAATCCGAAATTGTGTTTAAATTCCTTTCGAGAAATGTCTTAATTGGTATCAATACCAAGGTTGGACTTTATAGTTTCAAATAAATTGAGTCTTGGGTAGAAAGTTAATAGTAAATATATTTTTCGCCATATCCCAATGTTATTTGTTCAAGCACATAAGCATTGGTACAAAGGGGTACCAAAAACATATGCATCACACAAGTCACTTGATTTGTGTATGAGCTGGGATACTGCCCGGGTGCCCAAACCGAAGCAGGTGCTTTTCCTACGAGGCCACATCCTGAGCCTTTGACCTAAAGGTCCAATCCACAAGGCACTAGAGCAACGTAAGGAGATGCAGTCCCATGGTAATCGGTGACCAACAATAGGTTCATACACCGTTTTTCCCCTTAGGATTCTGGAGCTCATGTACATCACTGGTTTGAAATCAGGGTTTCCCAACTCCCCTAGGTGGATCCTCCGTATCCACCAAACCGGCTAGAGCGCTGGACATTCACTTACCGTCCTCTCAATTTCGCAAAGAACAACCCCGCCGCGAGAAGGCAGTGAGTAGGACTTCTCTGGCAGTGGTTGTATGCATGTGGCAATGTGAGAGCAATTAGAAAGGGAGAGCCGACTTTCCCCACTCTCGGCCGTACCAGAGCATTTTGGGACAATATATCCCATTGAGTAGAAAAATTATATTTGTGACGTTTCGTGACTTGATATGAGCCACTTTTTCAGAGTAAATAAATAATACGTCAGAAATACAAGTTTTCTACTCATTGGGATATAATAAAAATATATTTATTATGTCTTAATTAGTGTTTATGATATAATAGCTGTTCAAAGAGGAAATCAACCAACTATCTGAATGTACACAAGTAAAAAGTGTTTTTCTGAATTATCATGAAAATTTGGTTATAGTGAGATGGTTGGCGCGTAAGAGGTGTCTGAAAATATATTCAAAACCCTAGATTAACTGAAATGAGCTTCAACATAAAAGCAAATGAGAATTACGTCTCATCAAGTATTGGCTATACGAAAATATGACGAATTATGCTAATATCCAGAAGCAAATAGTTCGAATAGTCGTCCCATTGTTACATGTTTGAATATTATCGTATTGACTGAATACCAAAACTAGGTGTAGCCTCACGTTATTTAAAATTAGTGAGGAATGCACTTCAAAATATGCTATTTGTCAGTTGGTATACACCATGAATGTGTGAACATTGTGAAAGCCGTCAGGTCAAATACCGAAATCTAGAACGATAGTGTACGTAATTAAATTGTTACTTATCAAATCGATACAGCAAAGGTAGATTCAACGAGACAACGACGATACGAATACAATTGAAATGAATAACCGTGAAAATATCATGAGAAGAAAAAAAATCAATCACAAGGTAGAGTAAACAGTGAAATGGTCAGATGTTTAATCAGTCAGGTGTGACACAATCAAAACTAGGGATGGATACAGACTAGTTTTGAATTTACTTTAAATTATGGTAGTGAAACAACCTAATACTTCTCATGTTCTAACTTATAAATTAAAACCGAATACCACACATAGAATAACAACTTTGAATGAAACACCTAATTTATTTAAAGCACACATAGATTATGTCTGAATTAATCGAAAGAAAGAACTTGTGGTGATTTCTTACTGAACCACATACTAAAGGACTACGTCAAACTAATAAACGTTTTTAGCTCGGACATCATTAGCTGAAATATAATTTACGGCAAACTTTTATTGGGATTTATCACCTAAAGTGGTATTCACAATCGCTTTCCAAGTTTTCCATTTTTACTTGACGTCGTTATAGACATGTTCATAAATGTGACTTATCGCCTGACATTTTAGGAGCGGATTTCCCACTTGGAAACGCTTAATGACTTAGAGTATGCAGATGGTGTAGTCCTATTTGGTGTATATATATATATACGCATAACAAATAAAATACCTTGATTTCTTCATTTTCCAAGCTTTCTTTAATTTTAAGTGCTATTTTGTCATCGTTATGACTGTAGCTTATCATAATATGACCATCCAGATGGTAGGGATTTCCTTCTTCTACCACGATAGATGGTTTATCTTCTATAAAATAATAATTCAAATACACATGGTTAGCAAATTCTATTCTGATAAAATCCCTCTGTAAAATTGTGACAACCGAATTAAGAATTAAGATTTTTATTATCCACCCGGCAATTTTTGAATTTTTTTTAAATTCCCCCCACTCCACTGAAAAATTTTTTCCACCCCCAAATTACAATATTTTTCATCCCCTGTTTCGTCCAATGAAATGGCTAGTTGTAAAATTCGTTTTAATTGGTTAGTTATGTCTTGAAAATTGTTATAAAATATCAGTACTTGTCGACGAAGTACATTTTAATCGTCATTATGGAGGGCAGTAACGTGCCAAGTACAAGCACTGACGTTTCTCACGTCACGGAAATGGAGGAAGTCTTTTTGACAACCTTGTTTCTGGTTGCGTTCCCATCAGTTGAAGCGTTAAAGGCCGCTATCGTAACTTTCGAAAGATTGACTTACAGTCATTATGTAGTGAGAGATTCGCATACGGGCAGACATGAGAATTCGTATATTAAATTTGTGTGTTGGAGAAATGGGCGTATTAGACGTAGGAGGTAATTTGGTTAATGTAATTATAATTTTGTTCACGAAGGGCTTCCATGAACACGCAATGTACGGCCTTCATGTATTGTAACATCCTTGGGTGGGCTTTGCGAATACGAATTGGACGATGAGAACTGTCTATCGTATTTCTTCTTCATAACTCCTGAGCAATTGAATTTGACCGGTCACTTTTGTGACGTAATTGGTTTTGACGGAACATACAAAAGGAATAACGAGAACGTTCATTTATATCAAGTCGTTGCCCTGGATATTAATTTTAAGGCAATACCCATCTGCATTGCCTTTTCAAGTCGCGAAACGTCTACATTCATTTCTGGATTCCTGCGTTTTTTCCAACGGTGTACCAACAGTCGACAGCTGGTAGGCATTGTGGTCGATGATTCACCTGCAATAGCTGCTGCTATCACGCAGGTGTATCCGAATGCCCACCATATTCTGTGTCGCATACACCTTGTTTGGAATGTGATAAAGAGGGTAAGTGTATAGTTTATTAACATTAACTCATTAACCGTAAATGTAGAGGGTGCGATCAGAAATTGTACAACTGTTCTTTCGCCTCATGTTCACTCGAACGGTTGAAAGGTAAATCAAAATCTGCATAACATGATTTTGTAGTTTTAACAATGTACTTTCGTTAATCGAAATGTCGGACGGAACGTTTGGCAGATACGTCAGAGACCACCTTCTACCATGGAAACACAAATGGTCCAATGCTTTTCGACCACCATCAACCGTGTTTGAACTAAACAATACGAACTTCGTGGAGGCGAGTCACCGAGTGCTGAAGATGTATCACCTTAATCGGAAAACACTGGTGCTCAGATCCATTTTCAATGTGCTGCTTTGTACTGGATATTGGATGGAAGCAAGATTACAGAAATATTCAACGAATTGTCAGAGGAAAGCCGACATTGGTGAGGAGCCGGAAGTACGTCGACTTCAGGAACGACTGACACCAGCTGCCTGTCAACTACTGAAGCGACACCTTCGTATTCCTATAACGCAGTCTGTATTGTCGGAAGATTTATTCACGGCTACGGACGCCACGGGAACGTACTATGTACACGTCGATACTAGCCGGTGCTCGTGTCCATTCTTCATTGAAAACGGATTGCCATGCCGTCACATTTTGGCTTACTGCACACACAGTAATACTGATGTGAACGTACAGTCAATTTGTGACAGGTGGTTACATTCATAATGTCTAGATAATTCAGGTTTCATATTACGGTTAACAATATCCACACTAGTTTTTATTACGACCAAAACATTAATTTTAAAATACAGAACTGAAAATAATTTACAAGTGAAAACAATAAACCGTTTCAATGGACTTTTAAAATTAACTGCATGGAAATCTAACGTTTTCTAATTCTCATTACGAATGACCATTTACAAAATAAACGTTCACTAAATATTAAGTGCCTATTTCGGAAAATTTATTACTACTTTGATATACTGTCAAGGTCGGTTCATTAAATGATGGTCTACGATTGGTTCACCTGAATTATACATATTGCAACCAGTAATTTATCGTGATGAATTATTGATATGTTGATTTGTTTCTCCGATTAACAGACCATGTGTTACTAAAAAACTTATGCACACATTTCGGTAATAATTTGCTTATTAATTGGGTATTCAACATTTGACTACCAACCTAATTCATTAATCATTATTATCAAATATTCAAACCGGTTTTCAGTTACTTTTTCCCAAACCTTTCTTTTCATGTGATACATATAAGTATTCGTGGCAACAAAACTAACAACTTCAATTGAAGGTTGACATTAAATCACTTGATTGGAAAGCAAAAATTTATCTCAATACACATTCACTAACAGTAGGATTGTACGATTGTGCATTTTAGTTTGTGTTTTTTACTTGAAAATTCAAAATTTTTCTTCAAGACTAAGATTACATAAAAAGAATTATTCATTATCATCAAATTTCAAACTTAAAATGCAAATTATGACATCCAATCACAGCACTTGATGCTATTTCGATTTCAACTAATCACATTGCAAAGATAAACAGTTTACGACCAATCACAAAAGTTTTGTTCATTTTCACTTCAGTACACACTTGCAAAACAAGTAAACCAATCAACAATACCTACATTTTCCATTCACACCCTACAATTTTTTTTAAATGGGTGGTAGGGAATCATATTTGCCGGGCACTTAATGTCAACCACCAATTAAGACTCGTAATAGCCTATTTGGTCTAGTGAAACTATAGGCATTGTCTGTATGGAAACCGCTAATTTGCAGCTCATTATATTTCTCTCGAATATATACCTTCATAACAGAATCCATGACAATGATGTACCCACCGGTTCTCTCCTTAGCTTCGTATGAAGATAACCGAACCAACAAAGTCTTTTCTTTTCTGATGTAGCATTTTCAAGAGACTTTATACAAACTTCATTCTAAAATAACCATGTAGAATGAGCGCTGCATAAACAATATCACATATTGGTGAATTCGAAGTCCTACGATCACAACACACGAACTTCATAATTACAAACTTGAATTCTTATCCCTTGATAAGGAGTAAAACTTATTGCTAATACCATCCTCAATGTTTAGGTAATTTACCGTAAATCGTCGTCTACTATGACCAAAACTGATCAGTTTAATAAGTAGATAACAAATTTGCCTTCCCTTCGTCTGTGAATTTAGTCAATTTAGTTAATACGGTCTTTACATTAGGGAAAAAATTTCCTAGTTCCAACTACCATGAAAGGTAAACGTAGTTAATCATATCAGTGTCAAAAAGACTTTATGGCAGTTAAGAACTCCCTAAAACTTGTCAAAGTAGGAGGATATTCTTAGTAATAATTTGGGTTGGTGAATAACTGTCTTAAGTGCTCTAACATATCCTATTATCTAGTGAACCGAATGTACTCACGTTGGTTGGATTATATTTCCGTATTTAGACTATTGTATACTTAATGTCTTACTCTGATCACAATGTGAAACTGAAACATGTATAGAAAGTATGCATTGTGACTAACCTGTTAAACCATGAACTTCATTTTTCTACATTACCTTCTAACATTTTATCTCCTAGACCAGTCAGCTGTAAATGGGTCAAAAATATCTAGTTTATTCATAAGATGTGTAATTCTTATTCATTCAATTTTGTGAAGTTCTAAGTAACTGTAATCATGTGGATTAACAAGATCCAAAATCTCAAAGAAATAAGTCGGAGAGTGTTTCTGAGATATTTCGACAGTACTTAATATTATGGTTAATTGTGAAAGGATTAGATGGACATTAACAGGTACTTGTCAACTAGTCAGTTAAGAACATTATTGAACCTGGAGGTGTCCATAGAGAAGTACTTATTATCAGGCATAGTAATATATCATGTAGGAAACTTTCCATTTTATTTCCTAACACCCAACTAATTAAAAAAATGAAATGACCGGAAGATTAAAAAATTCACCAAAGTAAACTGTTAAGGTGTACGGTATAAATTTAACTACAGCTCCTTAGAGGATAAAATAGTGTATTGATAGTACAGTCATATTCTCTGTGCTTAATAAGATTTCATTATTTTATCTATTGTTATTTGATATTCCTTAGACTGGTGTATGAGATAAATCCAATAATCCTGCTTTTTATATGCGATATAAAAGCATGAATAAAAGTGACTGAATTAATGTTTTCACATACCACTTTGGTCATCACCGATATCAGATTCAGTTGGATATTGAAGTAAGAATTCATCAATACTAGCACCTTCAAAATATGTTCGAACTTTTTCTTCCAATTCAGTTATGTTGCTGCGATATGCTTCAGCTAGTGACAATATTTCTTGGGTAGCATCAATAACTGGAACTTTTGATGATAAAATACGTATAGTAGTTGATATTTCATTTGTGCCGTATGATTGAGAATCAGATAAGGATGTCAAGTGACGTACAATATCACGATTGCCAAATTCAATTCTGTTTTCACCGTTTAGAGCCAAAAGACGGAGCACTATTATTTGAAAAAAAAAGTACCAATTCGTACGCTTCATTCTGAATTTGTAACAAAAAGACACTGATACGATACAGAATAAGCGCATTTGAAATTTTGACCAGTAGTAATTTATTCAGATTGACTGGTATAGTGAAGGAAAGTTCGGAGGTAAATAGTTTGGTTGAAACGCTTGTAGTTTTACGATGTAAAACGATATTGAAAACTAGAAACATGAGGACTTATTAGTCCCCTGTAGTAGTAAGTCTTACTATTAACAATGACGTAATGTGTTGGTAGTTTTAGTGATTGTATACTTTATTGTCTATATTTATCAATTATTTGTCTTATGAAAAACAAAACAATTTTTTTCAGGTTTGACCCATATTTGATAAGAAACAATAACAGTTATATTATCGATTAGTCCAAAGTATTCAATTTTGATTATTGACCATATAAGTAAACCAGACATAACTCGTAATTTTTTATTAGTGGTTGAATTGTTTGTGGATTTACGGCTTGGGAATAATAAATGTCATTAAATGCAGCCTTACCCTCTTGCATCAATCGAATAATATCGGTCTTTGTACAGTGGTAAGTAACCAGGTTCCAGAGGTTATAAAAGACCGGTATATAAATGCTTTCTTTAGGTTTCAACGATATTACTACATTCATTGAACTGAAAGGCGACAGTTTGGAAATTCTCTCAATTTCCTAAAACCTTCAAATTTTTTTTTACTTTTTTCTACCCAATTCGGGCTTTATAATTCAACCATCTGGTTTATATCACATCAAACAACTGTAACAACCTCTAATAAACAAATCAATTAAATGGTTAAAGTGAAAGCTGTCCGACCAGTTCATTACCGTATTGTTGGTAGCACTCAAGCAAAACAAATCAGTGAAAAGTCCTGTATCATTTCACTTAACTGGAGTAAAGCTTTGAGGTGTCTTATCATTAGTACCTTTCAGTTGACATACCTTACACCACTAAATACTAAAGAAGCGGCTAACTTGAACCTATTAATCTTAAATTGTTTTCAAAATCACCAATTGAGTTGAAGTGATTAAAGAATTCGCTATCGCACATATATCTTAATATTTTCATGATTAATACCATCGACATAATTTCAAATGTGACTGTTCAGCCCACATTTATAACTTACTGATGATATAAACGGTTTATTATTTCTAATGTTATAGGGTTTATAACCACTATACACAAGTGTTTCAACGTTAGATATACGTGGCGATCAACTAGCGTTAAGTATTACACAACTGTAGTTCACATTCATTAAAAAACTGAATTATATCATTAAAATCCCCGGACAGTCAAACTGAGTTCCCAGTATCGATATCACACAATTTCACGAGGTTCAGGTACGAATAAGAAAGCACCAATAAGTACACTCGCCACAGCAATCTTTTCTAATCAATGCATATTACATTGTGTCTGTTTTAGAAACAAAATATTAGAATGAAGTATGAAGAAGAAGAATGTAAGATCCAGTTAAAACACACTCATATTTAAGACTAGTTAGAAAAGAATTGGGTATAAATAGAAGCGATTATACAATCGGATTAATATATATTATTCCAAAAATGAATCAAATAAAGTACACTTGTTATACTAACAATAAAAACTTTAGTGAATAGAAATAAATCATAGTAGATTTGATATAGAGCTAGCAGCAAAATTCAGGATATAGATTTCATCCTATCTGGGACTCAGATTTACTTGTATCTCAGTGTTAATGTCTTTACAGAGACTTGAACCCAGTACCTGTCGCTAGAATCCCACTCTACTTCATTTTACATTTGATTTTCATCGCAGAAAATCACTTTCCATACCCCGTACTTTTGATCAATATAAAATCACTAAAATATTTGGAAGAATAATAACGCAGCATTTATTTGGAAATGACAATTGTCTGCAAATAATCTACCTTTATTGAGAATAGAGGCATCAAAGAAATGACTTTTTCTTCCTCCAATAACAGTATAATGGAACTGTTGCATGAACAATTCAATATACTCTGCTTTTAGATGAAGTTGACTGATATCAGTGTAGGTAAACGTTAAAAAAATGGTTATGGCCAACTGGAAAATAAATATTAACTGGAAACAATGCCACAAACTTTAATTGTTGGATCAGGGCAAGTATAGCGCGTTAAAATATTACGTAGACCATAATCTCTAAGTATTTTTGTTAGGTAACTATTTTCATACGCCAATGCAGTATTTAGTGAACAAATAATTAGAGTTGTTAGTGGAAGTACATCCTAATATATCATATTTTAAGAATAAAGTGATTCAAACCTCAGACATTTTCATAGCACTGATGATATGTAAGATACGCCGTACTTCCGTCAAATATATATCAGATTTGATCAGTTTCTGTGTGAAGCTTATGCTGACGATCATATAATTAGTCAATGATTGTTGAAAATCAGTCAGCTTGAGGACCCATTTTTCACAAGGGAGTGGATTGAATGTAGAATAACTTAATGGAATAGCCATTCTTCCTAATTCACGATAAACAGATATAAGGTTGTCAAAAACCGACAACCTTGACAATATATCTACCGCAACCTTTGTACGATACTCTGTTATATTTGCTGGTGCGTCTTCAGGGCTGAAACTATTCACAAATGATTTTAATGATTCATCGAATTCTGCCGTAGCATATTTTTTCGAATTAGCAAGTATAATCAACTGCTTTATGTGCTTTGATGTTGCTTCATATAATTCGCCGAAATTGTTCTTACTCATTTACGGTTATTTATCTGAAGTAAAATGGCAACAAAAAGTTCATCAAGGAAAGTGAACAGAACAAAATTAAGATAATAATTTAATTCTACTCATTAAATTTATTCCAAAATAGCAAAAAAAACGCTTGTTCTATTATTATCAAACAAGCATTTTAAACGGCAACCAAATTTGTTAACACTGTATTCCCTACAATGAACATTTACGACTCACTTTTCCTCATTCTATACGAATGGATGTTTAAGAATCATAACAAAGAAGACGTGCTGTTGTATTCACGTAGCACTGTTGCTTCCGACAAGAACAAAAATGCAAAAGCCAGTTATTGATACTGAAATCAGCTTAGTAGATAAGTCCAGTTCACTTGACAAATCTATGGTTACAAGAACCTTGGTATCTTAAATCAGTTAAATATAAATAGAGCTTCGATTACCAGCTGATGTAACATGGATCATACAGCCGTTTTGTTTCTGTGTGAATAGAAAAACTGATTACTGTAATAAACTTATATGTTCCAGTTGAAGGGAGCAGGTAGCAAAGGAATTTTATTAATACTCTTATTTTACTCCGACTAATTATTGTTGTACATTCTGTCTTATATGTGCTATTTAAAGTTACAGAGTAGGTGCTCATAGAAGTGTCCTTTATTATGAAACTTGATTGGCCCTAGAAAACCAATCATGGCGTTTAAACTTGCGTCTTCAGCGTCCACAACTTAACGCGAATCAGACAACCAGATTCATAGGGAGCTGAAAGAAATATAACCAATTATTTGTGGTGCACCAGCGACCGAAATTCCAACGAAACGATAAACTGTAAGTCTTTCTGAAGGTCTCAAAAACATATTTCAGGTATGCTAACCCAAGAAGTCCACAATATTGATGTATGAAACGGTGTCTTTTACATTAGGTGCTAGAAATGAAACTCCACTAATCTACTGGATTCCTGTTAGAAACTTGGTTCCTGTTCGGTAACACAGTAATCGGTTAAAATCGGCGTTTTTTCTTCCTATTTTTAGGTGTTTTCATAACCCTCAAAGTCTACGAAGTACAGCCTAATTAACAACAAATGAGTCTCCAGTTATATTATTAGAACTTTGGATTTGAAGACTTTTGACCGAATTCAACTGGTTTGTAACATATAGTCTCAAAGGCGCCAATTGCATCGACCTAGCTAGCAGAGACAACAATCTGTAAAGCGTATATTAGCCCTGGAAATGGGAACTAATTGGTTATTCCAGGCTATGTTGGTTTGCTGAAAGGGAGTTAACGAGTGCTAAAAACACCAGCCACTGAGCGATTGGTTGTAGAATTGTGAATAGCGTCATAGTAAATTAATAGCTTCAAAAAACTAATAAAGTTGAAATATGTGTGTCATGATTATATTATATTCCACCCTTCTACAAGGTAATGAAAAGAGATTGAGCAGAACTAAGTGCTGTAGTGAGAACAACAGTTTCAATCTAGCGTTTCGCCAATGGTGTGAAATCGACTTCATATTATGCCAACGCGTTACTCCCTTACTCCATGATTTACGTCTCCGAACAAACACCCTGTCAATCACATGAATCAACAGATCCTGCACTAAGACAATATAACCTTTTCTATCGACGATCGACAACGGTTTCTGTGTTTAGTGAAAATTAGGTCATTCAAAACGTACCCCCTCCCGATAGGGAGGGAAGTTTCGAAACTTCACCAGCAGTACTCTTTGGTAAACAGAATGTCACTTTTTCTCTCAAAACATTCTTCCTAAAAAAGTCCTGTAAAATTCCGCTGTTTCCTTCCACCTAAAATAGATATTAAAGGATAATTCGTTTTGATGCAGAACCAAGGATATGGTCATTTTATGTCGAACAAATCCGAATCTGTGAGGATACGGACGTTAATGTCGAGAATTTCATCGATACTTTTCCGGGATATTTCTCTCAAAATATAATTCACGGCCCCACAACTATAGTGAAAATTATTAAAACTAAATAATGAAGGTACTTATAACTTATTAAAGGGTTTGTCACAGCTTGAATAACCGTGACATCTTTAAGGGTTTGGTAGTTTTCTCCAAAGTTTGGGAAATAACCCCAAAGTGTCATAAGATTTTGTGGAAATATTAGTAGGAACCCAAAATTTCCCCAGACATTTTGAGGATTTTCCCCAGATCTGTGCAAAACTATAGCAATTTGATTATAAATTTGCCGATGTATTTGCTTGTATATAAATATTTGCCTCTCAGCTTCGAAATCTGAGCTATCTGCTAATAAACTGTAGTTCCAGCTTCTCATTGCCTTTTGATTTCAAACAACGTTGAGGTTTATATAATAATGGTTATAAGGGTGATTGATTAACGAAACAAAGCCACTACACTGGCCTCATATACAGCTTTAGAATTAACTGGTTTTAGGTTTAATAGGAGTCGATTGCGCACCATAAAGAACCATAAACTACGTGAAACCAAGAAAAAGAACTGATACTTACTATGCTTTTTTAGATATCGAGGGACCGTGTCATTGTTGACTAGTTTAAACTGCTCAAGGTCTTTCTCACCAGGATTTTATCTTTCCCATATTCGTAGATATGAAATCGCAACACTTGAGTGTACATTAGGCTAATTTACGCAAATACAACGAAATACAAGTAAATAATTGAAAAGAAAAATGGAAAGTCATAATGCTTGTAGTGTGGTTTTCAGATGAACAAATGTTATTGGATGAAATTGAAGCTTTCGTTTAGCGAGCTTGAGTCTCAGTTTAAATTTCAGCTACCGAATGACAGAAGGCGAAGGGGTCTGTGCTAGCTTTGTTAATGGAATTTCTTAGTTAATCGAACTTTCTATAGAATGTGTCGGTAGACGGTGCTTTATTCACATGTTAAGGTAAGAGCTTCACCCATAAATGATCCTGTTAAAAGGTCGGCAGTCAGATGACAAATGGTTTGTTCTGGGCATGCGAAAGTCTTTATTGTGTTCTCGACAGTGTTTTTCATTGTAAGACAAGGAAAACGAGGGTATGTCAGATACAAAATTATTATTATTACCACGTTTTTCTAGTAACGTCGTTTATGCTGAATAGTCATCAGTGCGGTCATAGTACTCGAGTACGACAGAGTGGTGATACACAGTAGTTATTATCATGAGGTGTGACTTCGACGCTAGCTGGCTGGTCACGCCATTTCCGTTTCACTCGAGCAAACCCCGAATCATTCAACACAGACAATTGACGTTGGTGATCTACAGTCTCAAAACTGTCCACTAACCACATTTTTCCAGCCAGATAGCCTAAAGCTAACACGTACTGATTTTTCTGACGTCCAAATACAAAATTCATTATCCACATAAGCTACCCATGATAGGGATTAATTTGGATAACATTCTGTTATACGGAACTTTGTCAAAGGCAATAGCGAAGTCCATGAAGGCTACATCGAAAAGCAGCTTTCGACAGTGAAGCGCGCATTAACTTTCTCGAGCTAATAATAAGTTCATGAATAACCTGTCCTAAAACTGTGTTGCTTCTCGGAAAAGATCATATTTTCATTTCACTACCTAAGCAACTCCTTGCGAACAGCCTTCCATAAAGTCCAAACAATCACGTTTGTCCAGCTTACGATATTATATTTGTCAGGTTTATATTCTCTACCTGTTTGAAAGGTAGAGCTTAGCATGATGTTCTTCTAGTAGCTTCACAATTTACTTTGAGTCATAGAAAGAGTAAAACATGTACTGGGAGATTTTAGATGAAGTCTGACAGTGTTTTTAGTAATGTAGGATGCATTTCATTTGGTAATATATATTTAACTATATCTAGTTTATTCGGTGTACCAAGGACAGCCGGTTATTTACTGGTCACAATATCTAAGGTGTGATAAAAAGTGGTCATAGTACTTAGGAGGAGGTCGTCTTTATGTTAAGTTCTCTAGTTCATTAACGCAGAATACGATCTACAACTACGCACTCGAACTTGTGGAAAACCACAGTCACAAATCAGAACACAAGAAAACAGGAGTAATTATTATCGGATACGAATCAAAAATGTACAGGAAAACATGTGTATTTACAGTTATTAGCGTTGGTTGTATTATCATGATAATTCAGCCCATCAGCAAAGGAGCATGTTAAACGTACGTCCAGTCGTAGCATTCCACGCTGATATTCTAGAAAGCTCCATTATGCTCTGATTGGATGAAAACCCTTCGACTCCTTTGGGGCCTCTGGAAGCCCTGTAGTACTTTCCGAAGGCTGCCCCAGCACTTTAATGTACATTGTTTGCCTAAGAAGTCTGTAAATATATGAACTTCACCGTCACCAACTTCTAGAGTTGATGTCCATGTATTTGATACGAATAGAAATAACAGAAATATTCGTAAGGCAGCATAATATATATAATATAAACTCCGTCCGGAGTTCTTCCTGTGGCTACTGCCGGTCGCACGCCCGGATAAAGGAGGAGGGTTGGGCATGGGGTTAGCGACCGAATCCCACAGAAAACGAACTCGCTAAAAAACGCTAACCATAAACGATTATTCAAACGATCTAAACTCTGCCCTGGGAATCAGAAGGTCTTCATATAGAAGAGTTATGACGCCTCATGATGAAAGCCGCGTTCCCTCGGAAGTCACGAGGCCGATTCCCATTCTGACAACCAGAGCAACCATTTATTTAGGTACATAGGATGCTCGTACAATGTGGGAGACCGGGAGAGTCTTCCAAGTTTCTGCTGAAATGAAGAGACACAAACCGGAGGTGCTTGGGATCAGTGAAACACATTGGACGCAAGTTGAACAACAACGACTAACTTCAAGACAACTTCTGTTATATTCCAGCCATGAAGAAAAAAATGCCACACATACACAAGGAGTTGCATTGATGCTGTCTAAACAAGCACAAAATGCACTTATAGGATGGGAATCTCATGGACCAAGGATCATCAAAGCCTCCTTCAAAACAAAGAAAGAGGGCATTTTAATGAACATCATCCAATGCTATGAGCCTATCAACGACTATAATGA